GTGGCAACTCAATAATGTGCAGTGAATGTGGAAGATGGGTACACAAGAGGTACATTGGTGTAAATGGCAGATAGCAGAATCTTGCTGAATTCAAGTGTGCTGTATATGCAGGTAATTACAGTAGAAGTCCAAAAATCCGGACTGCTTGGGGATTGGGTCGGTCCGGATTTTCGGATTTTCCGGATTCTCAGGCAGTACTTTTAAAATTCAAATTTAAGGAGGAATAAAGAAGAGATGAACAGGTACATTTTGATAGTTTATTCATTAGCAAATATAGCATGCTTCATTTATCAAAACGAGCAGTTTCAATGAAAAAGCTGTGAATTCTAGAATTTTATTCTTTGCCTTTTTTATATCATAAATTGTAGACTTTCCAGTGTCGTATGTTTCCATTAGAACAGTATTGCTCACACCACGTTCTAGTTTCTTAATTATTTCAAGTTTGTCACTCAATTTCAACGTGTTCTTCTTTCTCTTCACACAACGAAGTTTATCTATTTTAGGAGCCATTATTATGGGCTTGTACAGTACTCTGTAAATGGAAAGAGTAGGACTCAAAATATTGTTATATTACAATGGTATTCTCTTCATACTGTGCTTGATAAAATGCATTCACGGAAATGTAATATTTTTGCTGAAATGACGTACGTATTACAGTGGAAAGTGGGATAAAATCGTGACGAAAACAATGACTTTCGCTTTCTTTCGTTCAAAAGATGTTACCGTAATCGCTTTTCGAATGGTTTTCAGTTAAAAAACTGTTGTATTACAATAATATTCTATCCTAATTGACTTGAATAAATACTACGATACCATATTACTGAATATTTTCATTAAAATCCATCAAAATCATTTTCCTTGTCATCATCTGCAGCACCAAACAGCTTCTCCCAGTCCTCTCCTTGAACAGGGCAAGAGGGTATGTGTTTTTCGAATCGTTTTCAGTTTAAAAACTATTACATCACACGTATATTTTACCTAAACTGCGCCTGAATGAATATATTCTCAGAAATAAATAGTAGTTTTGCTGAAAAGTGATGTATTTCAATGTAAAATAGGATAAAATACATGACGAAAACAAAAGACTTTACCTAAGCTTCCGATGTTCTTGAGATGTTACTCGTTTTCTTAATAGGTTTCGGTTAAAATTCTGTTATATTACAATGATATTCTATTCATACTGTGCTTGATATAATACATTCACGGAAATGTAATATTTTTGCTGAAATTACGTACGCATTACAGTGGAAAGTGGGATAAAATCGTGACGAAAACAATGACTTTCGCTTTCTTTCGTTCAAAAGATGTTACCGTAATCGCTTTTCGAATGGTTTAGTTAAAAAACTGTTGTATTACAATAATATTCCCTCCTAATTGACTTGAATAAATATTTGAATGGAAATATACGATATTTTTGTTGAAACTACCCGCGTTTCAGTGTAGTGTCGTAATAATAAATAGTAAACAATTTGCCTTTGGCACTCGTGTTTCAGGCACAGGGAGCCTCGGTTTATAGGACGTAGAGTGTTTTTACAGAAGGTTTTGTTGTTCCATTACCCTCAAAAACGTGGGTCGAACTATAAACGAGGAATATCATAAATTAACGATTTCTTGGTAAAAAAATCAGGGTCGACCTATAAACGAGGGGGGGGGTTATAGACGAGTATATACGGTATGTTGTCGCTGTGGCGCTCACGCATGCGCACATACACACAAAAGCCCGCTAAAAAAAAAAAAAAAAAATTAGTTTTCGAAAAGTCCGGATTTCTGGCATTCGGATTTTAGGACTTGTACTGTATATAGCCTAAGTAAGGCTGGAAAAATTCCACATTAGGGATATATCATGTGCTGGTGATGTTGAGTTGGTCACTGCTGGAGGTGGTGCTGAAGCTAGCTCAGTTGCAAGTCAAAAGTGGCTGGAAGAAGTTTAACTAGGCCTTCTATTTGTATGAAAGGTAAGATGTATGCAACTGGCATGAGAAGTGTGATGTATGGCAAGCTGAAATGAGAATGGTGAGATGTTTGTATATTGTGGTAATGAAAGATAGGAAATCCTGTTCAGAGCAAAGAGAGCAACAGGATATTGAAAGTATTGATGAAGTTCTACTTAGAGGTAGGCTGAGATGGTTTGGGCATGTGGAAAGTATGGACGAGACCAACTGGATCAAGAGGTGCAGGAGTTTGAATGTGGAAAGGGGAGGTAAGGGTAGGCCAAGAATAGCATTGGGAGAGGTTGTTATAAATGATCTCAGATAAGAACCTGAAGAGATTGGTTACAAGACTATGCAACAATGAGGTGCTGCCATCAGACAATTATGGAATATGACTGTAAAATGGTGGCGATGATGATTCTGTATGTCTAGTTATTTATATTGTTTGATGTAAGAGATGTATTGTCTGTCAGTGATTTAATCATCAAGTTTGTATTTTCAGCTTTCTGCATTGTGATAAACAGTAAAGAATTAGAGACATAGTAAATTGGAGACTTAAATCTCGGTAGCTTCTTGTTTGCAGTAGACGAGCTATATTTCTGTGGCTTTATTAACCCTCTCGTGCACGATGATGCAATTCACGTCATATTCACGACAAGACCAACTTCACGGTGACGCAAATTGAGTCGCCAAACATTAAAAAATTTGTCAAAAATAAGTTTTCAACTGAATTGCATCAAATTTTGATGTGTCATAGTAGCAATTAAGTTCTATCAAATAAACTAATGGCAATTCTCGAGGCCCGTAGGAAGGGAAGGCCGGAAAAATAAAAGTGGGGTTCAGTATTATCTCAGCAATCAGACCGTGAGCGAGAGCCATGTCCATTTAAATTTCCATAGCTCTGTGCAGGCTGCCTCAACTCCTGGAATACAGTCCTTTATTACTTTATTAATAAGGCACGAACTTAAGGGTAGACTCACATTTTTAATAAATTTGTTTCTGATTATTTGTGAGAGGATTTGCCAATTATTATTTAATTATATATGTTTTGTGTGTGTCTCTACACACACACACACACACACACACACACACATATACAATACAGGTAAAAGAAATAATTGTCCTAAGGGCAAACACATAGAGGGAATATACATTTCTTTGCACACGATTAAAAATGTACCCCCCTTCCCCCCAGTCCGCAAATGTTGCTCGCGGATTTGGCGATTCGCAGCCATTATGAGAACCTAACTCCCGCGAAATTGGGGGGCCCCCTGTAGTGATAATGTCTCGAAAAAAGTCTCTGAAAGATGATCTTCTAGACTTACATGAATTTTATCAGTACCATTCTCTTCATTATAGTATTGGCTACAAGATGCAATATAATTTGTATCGATATGAAACATAGGCACAAAAATAATGAAAAAAGATAAAAAAACTAAAATTTTTACCATTTAATCTATTTTTTGCTATTTTCTCAAAAACTCTTGGTCATATCAGAAATCTGATTACTGTACTACATTGGAAAGCTTATAAAATTCCACTTCTAGCAGCGTATATAGTACAAAACAGTTGGCTCAGACAATTTTGAGTTAGGAGGCTGTGAACATATTGATGAGTATTTTTTCTTCTCATATTTATTAGAAGTGACGAAAAATATCTCTATGCAGTATTTTTTATTTATTTATTTGTTTTTGCTTATGTTATGGAGCAATCAGTTATGAAACCAAAGATATATGGTTTATGCCATTAAAAACAAGTTTTTACTGGGGGGGGGATTGATAAAGCAAAAAAATATTCACCATGCGCTGCGTCGCCTGCCCTGGGGGCCTCAGAGATGTGATCTTATAACTGGAAATCTTAAAACTTATCTCGTGTGCGAGAGGTTTAATAATTATTAACAGTCTTTTCTATCTCGAAATCTGATGGTGCTTTACCATGTGATAGCTGTTTGTGGGTATCACACACAATTGTTTTAAATAAGTTCTGGAACTCTTAAGTGGCAGGGCTGAGGTAAACACTTTCATTTATTGTTGAAGCATCTATATACACAGTACTGAGTTTAGGAGAGAATGTATTGTGAATTCTCTCCAGGGAAGTGTCTTAAGTACGCTTATATATGTGAACACTTACGTTGGGTGTTCGCCCCTTTAGTAGTGGTAAGATTCTAGCTCTCTCCTCTGAGCGAGAAGGGAGGAGGACTGGGCGAGGTGTTTGATTAATCAGGTTGACCTTGCCTGCCCTCTGAGAGAGTTACAAGCTCAGCGTGTATAACGTGAATACTGTAACTACTGAGTCATTGTTGAATAACATAGTGAATAATTTGGTGTTATACATTTGGGTTAATATTTATATAATGCAAAAGGTGCTGTTACAACCATATGAAAATTTAGCTTTCATTTAAAATGTATATTACAGTAGAAGTCCAAAAATCCGAACTGCTTGGGGATTGGGTCGGTCCGGATTTTCGGATTTTCCGGATTCTCAGGCAGTACTTTAAAAATTCAAATTTAAGGTGGAGTAAAGAAGAGATGAACACGTTCATTTTGATAGTTTATTCATTAGCAAATATAGCATGCTTCATTTATCAAAACGAGCAGTTTTAAAGAACAAAGCTGTGAATTCTAGAATTTTGTTCTTACATACTTTTATATATCATAAATTGTAGACTTTCCAATGTCGTATGTTTCCATTGGAACAGTATTGCTCACACCACGTTCTAGTTTCTTAATTATTTCAAGTTTCACTCAATTTCAACGTGTTCTTCTTTCTCTTCACACAACGAAGTTTATCTACTTTAGGAGCCATTATTATGGGCTTGTACAGTACTCTGTAAATGGAAAGAGTAGGACTCAAAATTACAAACGTTGTCACAGTTTGATTGCTCGTTTTAAAGTGGCGACCTCGTGGTCGCTTGTTGTCGCCGTGCAGCTGTGGCGCTCACGCATGCGCACATACACACAAAAGCCAGCTAAATTTATATACGTATAAAAAAAAATTGAAAAGTCCGGATTCTCGGGTGGTCCGGATTTTTGGACTTTTAATATTTTATTTTTTGCTTTATGTTTTCAG